ATATATATAGATACATATATATATATATATATATATATAGATAGATATATATATATACATACATACACACACAGGTTGCGTAGCCAAATTATCCAACAAAAAATAAGCACCTTTTAAGCACTTTTCAAGCACTAAAAAAATATTTTTAAGCACTTTAAAAAAATACCATAATTAGGCAGGGTTGGAAAATTTTTAACAATTGACGGTTTTATGTTGTTTTAACCGTCATGTCAAAAAAATAAATAAACCTCTTGGCATTTTGACAATTGTCAAAAATCATGAAATTTTGAATCATGTAAAACGAACAGAGTTTTAATATGCTACGGACTAACAATATGCCGAAATAGATTGGGGTTGAATTAATTATGAAAACTTAAGAATAGAACAATGTGAACTGCGTCTTTTTGCATAATTCGAAGGAAAAATCAACATAGTAAAAGAAAATTCTTGTTTTGAAAAAGGGAAAATTAAGCACTTTTTAAAAACACTCAATGAAAAAAGCACCTTTAAGGGCTTTTAAAAAACAAAAATCGGAAATAAGCACCATTAAGCATTTTTTAAAAACGCTACGCACCCTGATATATATATATTGAAGGTAGTCATTACAGAGCACCGTGCATATCATGAGATTCATACAAGATCAAAATCCAAGTCTATGTGTAATAAAATATAATGAATGCTACCTCCATTAATCTTCCAGCATTCCTTCGTCCACACATAGTCGGATCATGTTTTGAGGTCATAACTCCACCTTGACGAGACACACCACTCCTACCAACAGCTTGGAAAGTCTTTTCAGCTTGCTCAAAATTATGCCAGTGGTTCTTAGCACTTTGTTCTAAGTAATATTCTTTGTCCTCATCTTCTTCATCAGATGAAAAGCTTGTAGCATAAGGGAGACGTCTATATTTTCCAAAAGTCACTTTGACTATAAGACAAATAGATCATTCATTAACATATTTTAAACATTTACCAATGCATTTTACTAAAAAAATATGTATAGCACAGGAAAAAAACAACACTAATAACTTTTGATCTAATGATTGGATTTTTATGCACTCAGAAACAATCTTAATGGTTGAAACGGATAACTTTAAATATACTAATTAATATTAGTCAATGTTTTATGAAATCAGACATGTAATCACATTTAACAAACGTGTATTTTATTTTAATGAATTTGAGTTTTTGATCCTAAAAATACAAGGGAGGAGGATAACTATCTGGAAAATATGAACCCAACAGTTCAATCAAGAGTGAGTCAGACGTTTGGGCGTCATCAATATTTTCTTCTATAAAATGTCTAAATTTAGATAAATTCTACAACACAGCTTTATATATTACAGTAGAACCTTGATTAACCGAGGTAATAACGAAATCTATTTTTTTCTTTCTTCTCCTTTCCAAAATGAGCTTGGAAAAAATTATACACATTTTAGTTCGTTGTCCGTGTTACAGGCACTTCTTCCCCACAAAAGCACTCAACTTCCAAGAAATATTACACCTTGAGAAGACAACATCCATGAATGCTTTGCTAATGTTCATGTCACTTGTAAGTTTAATCATGTAAATTTTAAAAACACAATCTTTTCTTGAGATTTGTGTTATTTTTGAAAATGCATCTGTTAATATTTAACTAAGTATAATAAAAAAAAAATTCCATTTTACTTTTTAAAATTTACTACTAGAGTTGATTTCTTTTTTAAATCTTTTTAGCTGTGAAATATTAAGTTCATATATGTTCATTTTTATCATTTAAAAAACGTTCTATTGTTTTTTACCTTAAAAGTAGCTAAATTCGCAAGCACAGAAGGTTTTCATACATAGTTTCTATTAACCGAGATTTCCGATATCCGAGGTACTAGCGGTCCCAATTAGCGTGGATAATCGAGGTCTTACTGTATTTAGTAATTATTAGAAAAATTTGGGAATTCCTTATGTATATCATTTTACAATTTTTTGTAAAATGCATAAATCTAGATAAATTTTACTATACAGTTTTATTATAAAGAATATTTAGACATCCCTAATGTACATCCTTTTTCTAACTCCAATAAGATGCCTAAATCTAGATAAATTCCACAACATAACTTTATACATTGTTTGGAAATAATTGTTAGGAAAATTTGGGTATCCCTAATGCATATACTCTTTCAAACTTCTGTAAAATGTCTAAATCTTGATAAATTCTACAACACATCCTTATTTATTAACAAGGAATCATTAATAGAAAAAATTAGACATTCCTAATGTGTATCCTCTTTCAAAGTTCAGTAAAATGCCTAATTCTTGACAAATTCTAATAATTCCAGCTAAATTCTATAGATCCAATAAAAAATAATTGGATTCATAAATTCTTTTGGATTATATTCGGATACATCTCACAATTAGTACTAATAATAAGAAGAATATCTCGTGATTTTAAATAAAAATTTGAATTATTTTTCTTTCTAAAATAATAGTCTTTAAGAAGTTATCAATTTCCTAGCATGATCTTTCAACATTGTGTAGTTTCATAACAAAACAAAACCAGATAAGACTATATTAAGTTAATTTAGTAACAATGTTTTTTTTTTCAAAATGAACACTGTTAAAAAATATCTCTTCACCTTTACTGTCACCATTATATTTTCTTCTAAAAAATATGATCTTTTCTCATTATACAGTTTCATAACAAAACAAAAACAAATAAGACTATATTCGTTAATTTAGAAACCATAACTCTTTCTTTTTTTTCAAAATGAACACTGTTAAAAAATATCTCTTCACCTTTACTGTCACCATTATATTTTGATTCTTCCCGTTGGAGGAGATTATCATGTTCCTTATCAAATTCCAATTGTAAAAGTTGTGCAAGTAAATAATCATCACTATGATCAGTTATTTCCTCCCCACAGCCACTAAGATCATCTATTACCCTGTGAAAAATAGATGCAAAATTATTGCACTTTTTGCCAAGAAATAAAAAAATATACATATCAGCAAAAAAATTGAAAATATATTAGATTTTTAAAAGATAATTTAGCTAGCTTAAGTTTTAGTGCTAATTTGAATGAAGAAAAGTCCTCATCCCAAATGTTGATAAGTTGAAAATACCTTTAGTTTTTCATTTACTGCAATTTTTGTAATCACTTATCGCATAAAATATTGATAAATAGGAGTAAAATTGTTGCATGTCTGCTTTAAGCTGCTGATCAATAAATTATTTAATTAACAAACTTAAATTGGAAATCAAAGAATATTTGAAGAAAATTAATTATAACTTGTAAATAACAGTAAAGTTGGTTTTCATAGCTAACAAAAGGAAGTAATGTTCAGCGTATCTTTAAAAGAAAATTTGAATTACTTTGATTATTTTAAAATCAGAAAAAAATATATATACGACTTATATATCCATCAGCAATTCAGACTACGCATTTCCTACGATATTGAAATTTGCATTCTTTTAGAGCTAATTTTTAAGCATATTTATTCAATAGCTTAATTATTATGACACTGAAATAAGCTTATATATCTGTTTTTAAATGATAACTTTTTTTTTGTTGTTTCAGTATAGTTTAGATTTTTATTTTGGTTTCCTTAAAAATTGCTACTTTCCTTAAATGCCTTTTAAAAGAAGGGAATACTTATAAACATACAATACACCTTTACAACATATTAACAGTCACAAGTGATATTTTTTAAAGTCATTTAACAATAGTTGCTAATGCAGTTTTTTAACCCCAATTGTTACTTTAGGCAATTTAAGAAATTTCAGTTGGTGGCTTGCTTTCTTTCATAAAGAAAAACAATTTTCTTCTTGCCATTCAATGGGAATGTTATCTCAAGAAAAAAAATAATTAAGTATGAAATTAAAGCTTCACTTGTTAACTCCTTTAACCTTCCTAAAGCACAACATAGAAACTCTAGGAAGGTTAAAGGAATTAACAAATGTAGCTTTATAAAAATGGTTATAAATTAATAGAATTTTTTTTAAAAAAAATAACCCACATTAAATTTTTTGAAAAGCATATATTTATCCCTAAACCCTTTTATTACTAATTGCATTATCCCCCCTTTTTGGTGTCAATAAAGCATATTTATTCCTAATTATGTATAATGAATTTACTTAATTATTGTAAGGTTATTTAATTATGAGATACAGAGATATTTTTAACTCCTCTACAAATGTATATACACATTTAAAATCAGAAATACACTGAAAAAACTAATAAGGTATATTTTCAATCTTTTTAAATTAAATAAAAATTCAGTAAGTTTTTTTTTTTTTTTTAACATATTAGATGCATTTAACCGATAGCATCAAACTCCTTTGCAGAAATAACAATATCTTTGTCAACAGTTATATATATATATATAAAAAAGGGTTTCTAATTCCAAACTGAATAAAAACAAGTAAAACAATTGGCTGGAAAAAAAGCTAGAAGCATAAACCTAAATATCACATCATGCCTGCTTCTTTAATGGCATCTAGAGAACGACCTTCATTCATGGACATGACAACATCAAAGCATGCATCTGAATTTAAAGAACGAAATAGAAAGATTTGCATTTCAAATTTGATAATGATGTAAAATGAAAGAAAAAAATTGCAATTTTAATGAAAATAAAATATTTCACTTATATGTTTTATTTCATTTTTCTTTACATAATATGTCAAGTATACTAATGTAATAAATCAAAATAGTACACATCTCTTTGTCATCTTCTATTTCATCCATATGAATGAGTAAATTTTTCTTCTTCATGATCTCTGTAACCAATATATGTACTGTATTTCACTAATCTTAAAAAGTCAAAGAGCATTTTGACTTCATGAAAAAAACCAGCTTTAGCTCTGATGGGATATCAATGCAATTATTATAGCATTTTTTTAAATTTATTTATTTTTATATATACTTTCCTACTTCATAAACATGGTAAAATTTTAAAAATAATAGTTGCTAACTTAAAGAAGAAAGTAATTAAGTCAGGGTTGTCACTCAAATCTGTAAAAAAAATTCAGTGTTTTCTCTGTACATGTTATACACAATATTTTAACAGGAAACAATTACTATTCTCTTGTATGAGCTATATTGGACTAACTATATTTATTAGTTTTAATTGCTGAAAAAACAGTTGAATATACTCAAATAATGCTACAATACATGAAATAGTTTAGTATAGCTGAAATATCATGATTAAATATCCCATAGGGAACACTTTGAGTGGTCACCATTTTTTAAAAGACAAAAATAAGAAACAAAATTCCCCGTATTTTCTAAGTTTGCAAAGAAAAAAAAATCAAAATTCCCTGCATTTTAGGTGATTTTCAAAATACCCTGTATTTTCCAGATTTTTCCTGTTACCCTGAGTGGCAACCCTGTAAGTATAACATTTTAAAAACCCATTTTACAGGATTCCTTGTAATTAAAAATATTAAAATAAAAACATACACTGTTTCTTGTACTGGTGGGATAGAATTATCTTGAACCAAGTTAGTAATTAGTTGTTCACTCATAACATCATTTAAAGAAACTGCTTCAGCAGGTTTGATTTGACCCCAAGGGCATTTATTAGTCATAGGCACTTTAACTGGAAGATCAGTTGGCACAACTGGAGTGGGAATAGATTGTATGCATGATTGTGGTTGAACTGCTACAAGAACTTCAGAATCCATAACTGAAAAATTACAAAAATCATTAGCAAGAAATATAAGATCAAAGAAATTTGTAAGACACATCTAAAAATATCTTTTGATGTTAAAGAAAAGTTAATGGAACAGTTTTAGAAAGTTTGACATTTGTATGCTTCTTACTGTCATCATAATATGACAAAGATACGAAATTTTTCAAAAAATATATTTAAGCGATATTCTAATATCAGGGGTCTGTCTAGGTTTTTCAATGAGGTACCTATTTTGTGAAAATTTAGACACAATTTGTGAAAATTAAAAATTACATTAAAAAATCAACACGAAAATGCGGTAAAAATATGGATTTATCGTTTCTTATGGGATAAAAAAATAAAATTTTAAGAAAAAGTATTTTGTGATACTACCGTTTTTCCTAAAGTTGAATTTGTGAAGATACCGCTAAACGGTAGTAACTTTGGCCTGGACAGACCCCTGAATATGAAACTATCATTTATCTAAATATTACTTGAGTAAGCATAAATCAAAGTTGAAGTTTTTTTCTTCTTTTTTGTTCTATGAAATAGAATTCAGTGAAAATTTATTAGTTAGGAATGTATTGTTTTCTTGTCAAACTGGGAAAGAATGAGTAAAATAAACTTGCATCCATAAAATAAAAAAAAAAGAAAAAACGACAATAGAGAGCAGGGAACAGAACCTCAAAATATATTTAAAATAAAGCATAGCCGGCCAGGTGGCCGAGCTGTTAGCGTGCCTGACTGCGAAGCCATAGGCTGCGGGTTCGAATCCCGCTGTGGGCATGGATGTTTCTCTCTCTCTTTGTGCTGTCCTCTGTTGTGTGTATGATGTGTGAATGTGGCCCACCCTATAAACGGGTCTGTGGCAGTGTGGCGTGGGCAATGTTGCTTGCCTCCGTGACTTTGGTTCACAGGTGCCCACTGGGTAATGCGAAATTAGCAACAATTCTGGCATAGTATAGGCAAAGATCCAAATTCAGTGCCTGCCATTGGGAAAAAATAAAAAAATAAAGCATACAAATATATTTAAATATTGAAGATGAGGCATTAAATAATATTCAGATCAAATATCAACCAACCACTTGTTCACCTCAGAAGATAAAAAGGAAACTGTAAGGAAAGAATATAGAGATTTTGCAAGATGCAATATTGAAAGCTATATCACTTGTAAAAACAAGACAAGATTTTAAAACTAGAGCTTTTATTAACAACAAATTACTCTTATTTACTTTATTAAAAACAAAAACTGCACAAATAAAGAAAACAAGCAAAGATAAAATTATGAATTTATTTATGTGATAGGTATATAATTACTTCACACTAGAGTATGATTGATCACATAAAATATCAATCGAAAAATAAATTTATTATTGAAATTTTAGATCATTAAAATTTAAATATCTTTTACATTTTTGAGAATATAAGAATTTTGCTTGAGATAAAAGATTTTTTTGTAAAGAATTAAAAAGTACAATTTCTACATGCATTTCTATGAAAATTAATCTATGGATGTGAACTTTTATGAACATATAATTTAATTTATTTATAATTTAATTTTTTTCTCTTCTCAAGACATAAGATTTGCCAGGCAACCTTACCTTAGCATGCAACTGGGAAAATTTATAGAATAATTTGCATCAGGAAAAATAAGGAGAGAAACTAAGTTAAGTGTGAATCATTTAAATGGAAAACAAACTAAAATTTACAACCACACTTTCTTTACATAAAAGGGAAGGAGGTTAAAATAAATGAAGGATGCCAGATCTAGGTTTATCAAAATATACATTTAATATGGATCTTAATTAGGATATAGAGATGGAAAAAAAATAGCTTTAAAAGAAAAAGAAAAGAAAAAAAAGAGAGAGAGATCAACAGTAAAAAATTTATACAGTACAGACAGTAAAAAATTTATGTGACTCATTTAAATGAATTTCTATGAATAAAATTTAATAATTAATCCTAATTTAATTATTAATTAAAATATTTTAAACTTGATTCCTAAAAATGATGCGTTGTGTTAAAGTTTTCTTTTTATTTAATAATGTAATAAATTGTTCATACATTTTATTACAATAGAAAATTGTAGTTTAACCTTTAAGTACTAATTTTTATCTACATAAATTGGAAACTCTTTGGTTAAGAAAGAATAATTTTGTTTATCAGGCCCAGAAAATGCATTGGAAATAGAGATTGTTTTTCTTTTAGTAGGTGAAATTTGTATAGATAAATTAATTAATTTTTGCTCAGAGTTAAAATGTGCGTGATTGCGTCACACTTACGACACTTTTGGACAACTCGAAACAAAATTTTGCAGAAAATTAATTACATGCCCATCTTTAATAAAACCATTTAAAAAGTTTGGATAGTACAATTTTTTAGATACATTTAATAAACATACATTTGTAATCATTAATTTACATCAAATTAAATGTCCATATTTGATTGAATTAAACATATATGAAGTAAAGTTTTAGAACATAAACATTTACCTTAGGTAGAATTATACGGTTTCACAATTTTCAAAAGTTTAAAAAACTATATTTTTTTAAGGTTGATAATAGCAGAAATTTTAAAATGGGTGATAATTAGAATTTAATTGCTTTTGTTTATATTGTTCTTTGATGTCCGTTGTTGATGTCGTCTGCGCACGAAGCGCAACGAGAATGACTTTTTGAAGATGAGATGAGTTGATGAGATGAGAAGGACTTTGATTTCATTGGTTTGATTTATTGATCTGCAAATAGATGAAAAAATATCATTTGGTGTAATTTTTATTTTATTACACTGACCAAGTTATATTTTAATAAATTGGTTTCGAGCAAAACCTCTAATTAAATATAAAAAATATAAAAAAAACTTTTGGCAACTCACAAATCAGACTCAACGCAATACACAACTCAACTCAATTTACTGATATTTACTACGAGCGTGCGTGGTGCGGTGGTAGCGTACACGTTTGTTAAATTTTTCATAAAAAGTTAAATTAAAAATTGAAAAATGGTTGCCCAAAAAAAGAGCGTAAGTACTTTTACATTCAGAATTTTTAATTGGAAACTTTGATGTCCCTTCAAATGACTGTATTTTATTTTACAACTAAGCCTAAAAAGTCTTCATTTCTGTGCATGCATTTAAAACGTGTTAATTCTATATTCGGTTATATTTTTTATGATGTCTAATGTTTTTAGTAACCTCTATGACAATTATTCATTGCGATAACTATTTAATTTCTTTAGTATGTTGTGTTTATAAATTACATTGGGTAGTAAGTAGGTAATTTATGCTGAACACGGTTTATGTGATTATTGTTTTTATTTTGTTACAATAGCAGTATAAATGTCTTATTCATACATCTCTTTTTTATCTTTCAAGTTTTACTTTTAATGTTTTGAATCATAACTCTTATTAATCGATCTAGTTTTTGTCAAAACAAAATTTCTATTAAGTTTGCCTATTTTTTAGTATAATATTTTTCTTATGTGATTATAAGCGGGATATTTCCTTAATGTATAGCATTTATAGTTAAAGTATGTGTAATTACTCAATTCGAAAACGGCCTTGAGGTTTTCTAAAGTGTTAACTTTATAGTTGAGTCTTCCATGATTAATATTGATGTGTCGTTAATGATTAATATTGATGTTGGTTTACAATATTAGTAATATTGACCAATTTTTGGGGATTTGAATACAAGTACCAGTTCGCTTTTTGCATCAAGCTATTAGAAGAGGTAGGAGCCTGAATCTTGTCAAATACTGAAGAAGCAATGAATATTACAATTGATGTGTGCCTGCTGTTACATTATTATTACCTAATATTTTATAGGAAGCACATTGATAGCTCGATGTAACTGAAAAGTTTTGCAAGAATTGAATAGTTAATATGTTTACTTGAGTTCTATATAAACTGTTTCCAGTCAAAGTATGTAATCAATGTAGTACATTTTCTCCCTTATTTATAAATTACATTAAATTTTATCTGATAAAATTTGAATAAAATCTAATATTTTTAATGTAAATCATGCAGATTAGTCTTTATTTTATCACTCACAAGTCCAGTCTGTTTCCAGTGCAAATCACTATTTATACCAATAATATAGTAAATTTATAATGTTGAGATTGTATATTTGACAAATATTAATTTAACATGATATTTAAAATCTGATATTTTTACAACGACAAAATTTCAAAACAAAACCAGATGGTTAGTGTGGTTTCGTCGTCTTATTAATTTTCCCCCCGGTCGTTACTGCGACAGATTTTACAGTTTTTAATTAGTTTTTTAATGTGATTAACCAAATGTGAAAAAAGAAATAATTAGTGCATTCCCCCAGAAAGAGTGCTAAAGTGTTACCAAGCCTTAGTTAAAAAAATTTCAGATTTTTGAATTTGATAATTTTAATGTTTTATGCTATTTGTCACTAAAAGAGTCAAATGTAAAAAGAAATTGCTTGTTTGTGGCTATGAGTTGGTCCCCTTCAGTGATTTTTATTATTTTTTAATTCTTGCAGGCATGGAAGTTGCCATGACTTAATAATTATTTAGATGTAGATCACAATGCGGAAATAATATTTTATAATAGAATATTTGATTCACAGATAAACATTCTACATATATTATCAGAAAAACTGCAATTGTTTTCAGGATGCATATAAATTAATATCAATGTTATCAAAATTATGGAGCTTGTTAACTAAAGAATGCTGTAATATTGTTTTAATCAGCAACAACAAAAGATTGTTTCGTAATAAGTATTGTTTTTTAAATAATATTAGAAATTTTATGCATTGAATTTTATTTATTTATTTTATTTATTTATTTATTTTTTTATTTATTTTTTTTAGAAAAAAGCATTAGAGAGTATCAATTCCAGACTAGCCCTTGTGATGAAATCTGGAAAGTATGTTCTAGGAAACAANATAAATAAATATGTTTTTAAATTCAAATTAACATACTGGATAATAAAGATATTCGGTATAACATAAAAAATTTTTTTTATACACTTGTATCAAATTTGTATTTATACAACATAACTTGTAAGTTCCTTATAAATATTAGTTATATGTTCCTTATATGTCAAAAATGCATAGTAATAAACTTTTAATTTTCTTAAGTATCAAAAAGAAAAGAAAAAAAAATTTAAATATAAATATTTAAACAATTTTTGCGCAAAATTTTTCTGCACATGCATTTGAATATAAATTTCTGAGATTTTAAATCTGTTATTTTACCTTAATTTTAATTAAAAAATAATTTAAAACCTGCTGATTACCTATACATAGTATAATTAAATTTCAATATAATGCATGGCAACTGCTGGTAGTTTTGAAGTTTATATATTTTCTTGGCAAACTTCAGTTTTTGACATTTTCGACGTTTTTTGACGGTTTAAACCAGTATTATACCCTTGTCATGTCAAAAACACTTTTTGACGTCAAAAACTCAACCCTGATTAGCGTGGTTTCGTCGTCTTATTAATTTTCCCCCCGGTCGTTACTGCAACAGATTTTACAATTTTTAATTAGTTTTTTTAATGTGATTAACCAGATGTGAAAAAAGAAATAATTAGTGTCACTAAGAGAGTCAAATGTAAAAAGAAATTGTATGTGGCTACGAGTTGGTCCCCTTCAGTGATTTTTATTATTTTTTAATTCTTGCGGGCATGGAAGTTGCCATGACTTAATAATTATTTAGATGTAGATCACAATGCGGAAATAATATTTTATAATAGAATATTTGATTCACGGATAAACATTCTACATATATCATCAGAAAAACTGCGATTGTTTTCAGGATGCATATAAGTTAATATCAATGTTATCAAAAATATGGAGCTTGTTAACTAAAGAATGCTGTAATATTGTTTTAATCAACAACGAAAAAAGATTGTTTCGTAACAAGTATTGTTTTTTTAAATAATATTAAAAACTTTATGCATTCAATTTTATTTATTTTTTTAGAAAAAAGCATTGGAGAGTATCAATTCCAGACTAGCCCTTGTGATGAAATCTGGAAAGTATGTTCTAGGAAACAAACAAACACTTAAAGCTTTAAGACAGGGAAAAGCTAAACTAGTAATCATCGCCAACAACACCCCTCCATTAAGGTGAGTTTAAAGATTGTTCTTTAAATTATATGGAGCTATTTCATGGGTCTGTCCAGGCCAAATTTACTACTGTTTAGTAGTACCTTCAAAAATTCAAAGTTTTACAAAATACTTTATCTTAAAATTTTATTTCTGTAAGAAACGATGAACCATATTTTTACCGCATTTATTTGGTGATATTTTAAAATAATTTTTAATATTCTCAGAGTAGGTATACCTTACAGAAAAACTTAGACAGACCCCTGTATTTTATTATTATTGTTTTGAAATTCTTAGAATTCGACTTTTGTTTGATTTCTGTCAAAAAGTTTTAAGAACATTTCTCAAAATAATAAGTAAAATTACTAATTAAAAGATCATCTATTAATGTACAAAAAGCATCGGGTATCTTATCAGCCAGTTTAATGGGAGTTGAGTGTCATTTTTACTACTTCAAAAGAATGAAGTTTAATATTTCTTCATTTTGTTTTATAGATGCAGAGAGAGATAGTAAAGCTTTACTTTTATTTATTAATTATCCTCATTACTTAAATGTTGCTTTTTCTTATTTATTCTCAGGATATTACATATTTTTAAAACTATTATTAATAGCATTAATGGAAATAATAGCCTTGTAAAATATTAATTGTATAGAATAGTTATTTTTTATGGACATAAGAATTTAGATTAGTATGGTACAAATATATACGAACATAATTTGCAAGTCACAATATTAAATGATGCTCTAGATTTGTATACTAATTTATCAAAAAAAATTTTATAGTAATTTTAATAAATTTTACATATACACATTACCCTATGTGTATGAATGCTGTAAATAACTAGTGTCTACGTGATCGTGTTTTATAAATCGTTTAACCTTCATTGCCCTATATTGGTTTAATGCCACTAAAAATAAAATTTGAGTATGCTTGGTGTGTATTGTAAGTTTGTTGCATTTTTATTTATTGCACTTATAAAATTTCGAATTATATTATGTAATGTTTGGTTAGGAAAATCCATGCAATGTGCACGGCTCGCTATACTGCGCGCTGTTCAGTTTCGTCACTTACGAAGAGTGAAATGCTGTGGTAAAGGAGTTGAGGGAGGATGATCTTGCTATTTCATTTACTATTTTGACTGTAGAGTTAGAGAAAATTAAAGCTCTAGAAAACTACTTTTAAGGAAAGGGAAAATTGTGGACTGGTGTAGTAAACCTGAAAAAATGCATAATTAAAGGTAATTTGGTGGTTGCTAATGTCAGGCAAAAGGTTTAAGGGAAAAAAAATCTTAATTCAAACAGCTATTGATAAAAGAAAAATTTGGAATTGGGATCAACTTAAGAAAAATTAATGTAATTAAGAATTAGCTGCGAAATATTTTTATTTATTAATTACTGTGTTTTAAAATGCTCATGTGAGGCCATGTCCTATTGTCAGGTAACTTCTTAAATTCTAGATTTTAAAATAATAAGCTTGTAACAGTAATTGGAAATCATAGAATTTCTTCAGTAAAAATCTAATGTTTTTTCTCTTTTATTTTTTAAGTTTATTGTTTAAGTTTTCAGGATATTATTTGACTGAGTGTTAGAAAAGTTTCTATAGTAATATTTTTTAATGCTAGATTTTGTAATGTGAAAGTATGAAAAGCTCCAATATTGAAAAGTGGTTAGCAGCCTTATTTGTAATGTTTTTACACTATTTGTATTTCAGGAAAAGTGAGATTGAATACTATGCTATGTTGGCCAAGACTGGTGTACATCATTATTCAGGAAGCAATATTGAACTTGGTACAGCTTGTGGAAAATATTTTAGAGTGTGTGCATTGAGCATTACTGATCCAGGTAAGAAAAATGATAAAAAAAATTTGTGTTCAATGTGTTTTAGATTTGTGTTACAGAGTGATGTAATTGGAATTAAATGTTTCCTTTTAATTTTTTGTTGAGTTTGTGGTGACATCACATTGATTTTAAACCATTAAAAATATAGGGTTTAACTTTTTAGTGATTGATTTAAATTATATTTGTGTAATGTGTTTATTTTGGGTTTATACAAATGGAATGGCTCTTGGCTTTTATGAAATTTTAATTCTACCCCTAAGTGGTATAGGTATCAAAAGATACTTTACTCATTTTAATTAGTTCTCCAAATTTTATATTTTCACAATTGGTTTGTTTTAGAGCAATAATTTTTAAAGTATAAAAATTTTTGCAAATGGTATATTTAAAACAAAAATAACAAATGTATAACTCCAAGCTCCTTTTTGAAACATAACATTGATTATAGTCAAATTGCTAAATTCCAGTTCCAGGAGCTTTTACATAAATTAAATATTTGTCCTTCCCCCCCCCCTACAATTGTATTAATGCAAATTGTAGGAATGCTAAGTTTCAAAGGAATATATCTGCACAGAAAAACACAATGTATCAGCAAATTATTAGAACTGCCTGAAAATATAAACAGTCTTGCCAATTGTTTGCACTTAAATGTAAATGAAGTGATCTTGATAAAAGTATTCTTATAAAGTTAATGTTTAATGAAGATAATTATTTGTCTTAACATTTCTNCACCGCAATAGATTGGAAATTATTTTTTGTTGAAATTTTCCCCTTCCACCTGCTTCTACTTTTAATTTTCATATGTTTTTAAAAATAAGTTAGCAGCTGCTAGCTGTAAGTTTTAGCACTTTCTCCATGTATAATCAAATATTTTGATTTTTGTACTATTTGGTTAATTCTCTAGAATTAAAGGTTTTTGGAAAAAAAGATCTGTAAATTTAAGAATGTTGTAACTATTAAAAATTAAATTTTTGAAGTAATTAACGTTTCATTACTGGATTTTGCCAGTTCCTGGTCTACCAGATTGATCAAAAATTTGCCTTGTTTTGTGTATTTCAGAAAATTCCTTGTTATTGAAAAAAAAATTCCTAACAGGATAAATTTTTTGCTTTGTTTATTCATTGTTTCCTTGAGTATTTCACTAATTATTTCTGCTAATCAAAGAAGCATGGCCAAATTTAAAATAATCAGTTCTAAGTTTTTGACATTACAATATATATATCTGACACTTATAAACATTCCATAAAGTTATACCATCTATAACCTGCCAAGCTGTAATTTTGATATTTAGTGTAGATTTTGTTGCCTTAAAAATGCAGTTTAAGAGCATTGAAACATGTGAAAGAAATTGTAATAAATATCATGTTGCTGAAAGACAAGATAAAAGTTCTATGGTTGTCCATTAAGGGATAGAAATAAGAATTAAATTGTGAAGAACTTAGCACACACCTAGACCTAATAGTATCTAAAGTATTTAATCAAACAGGCTAACTTTTTTTTTTGTTCTAAAATTTTTTTTTTTTTTTTTGCACTCTTTTTGTCTGCACGTTTTTTTTAACTACTTTAAATGTTTTTCTTTTACAATGCTTTATAGGTAATTTTGCTTGATCAGAATATGTTCTATTTTTATTTACTTATTTTATTAATTTGTTTTTTATTTTTTACATATTCATGTTTGTTTTCATTAAAATGTTTTGATTCTTATTTTTTTCTCTTCTGATAAATCGATAAATATACTTAACTGAAAACATCTAAATGACAACACATGTTTATTTTCAATAAACTTGTCTCAAACTTTTAATATACATGTCAAATATCAAGATGTTCCTGTTTGTGTTAAGTAATGTGTTGTAATGGTGACACTTTTACAATAAAAATTTTTTTTCTAAAATTGATTTGCAAATTTCATGATTGTTTGTCATTTTCAAATCTATGTATGTGTGAAACTTAAGACTAAATGTTTTTGTTTTTTTCTTTTCAGGTGATTCCGATATTATTCGAACTATGCCTACTGAGCAACAATGAGATCTTTCATTTTAAATAAATAAAAAAATTTAAAGACATCTTGTGTGTTTATTTAAGTTCTTTTGAGTTTGAAGGAAATTTTTGAATTTTTATGAAATTCTTCCACGTGCATATGTGTTGTGTAAATTTACCTCAAATGTCAGTTAAATGTTTTCTACTAACCACTAAAACTCGAGTGTATACAGGCTGTGTAGCGTTTTTAAAAGCCGTTAATGGTGCTTTTTTAAATTTTTTATTCAGGGTTTGTAAAAAGAGATTTTTTCTTTGCCAAGTCGTTATTCCTTTTAAATTACAAAAAATGCATGATTTTCACAATTTTCTCTGATCATCAGAAACTAAATCATGATAATGTATCGTTTTGAATTTTATTTTTATAAATTAAGAACTTTAAACAGTAGGGGGGAAATAATTTTATTACTGCACGGATCCTAATTATGAATTTTTTTCTTTCGGAAAGTATATAATCTCAAAATAATTTTGAAGTGTTTTTTTATTTTTTTTTTGAAAAATCTGGTTACGCTTCCTGAAGAAGCAAATAAATTGATTTAAGATCATAATCACTCATTTTAAATTTCATTATGATTTTAAAAATATTCAGATTTTTCTGCTTATTTATATTGATAAAAATGAAAAATTTAACAGAAATATAAATTTTTAAAAAATTTGTATTTTTTCTTTTATATATATATATTAGACTTAAATTTTAACTAGTTCTTTAAATTTTTTTTCATGATTAATGTTTCTATTTTTATTAATATTTTGCAAGGTGTGTAGGTGCCTAAAGGTGCTTTTATTTTACTTTATTGTTATAAAACAGTGCTAATTTTCCTTTATTGATACCGTGTCGATTTTCGCCACGTATTATGCAAAAGCGTACTTTTTTTCATTGTTCTATTCAGCGTTTTCTCGATTCATTCTACCACAATTGATTTTGGTTTAATGTTTGTCATTGATTTGGCTATGTTCCCTGTAACATCCAATCATCAAGAATGAATGTGAATCAAAAAGAAGAGGTCAGGTTTTCATATATTCAAAATGAATGAAAAAAATGCTTTGTTAAAGTAAAACTTAAATTGTAATTGCTCATTATGACGTTAAAAGCAGGAAAAGTTCAAGTAAGTAATATTTTATTGAATTTGAGTACATTAGCCTCATCAGTAGATATAATTTTTATCTAGACTTTGGAAACCGTTATTTATCGCTTTAATTGACAAGAATTCGGTAAATCAGGAAAGATGAATGTGTTCAAAATGATATGTCATATCGTTAAACCTAAAGGTATGTCTTGAACAAAAGTTTTATTAGGTTTAATACAGTCCATTAATTCAAGATTTTTTAAATTAACAGTTTAAGCTATATTTGAGCATGCCAAAGGCATGGAACCGGTCTTCTCCCCTGATGGCGTGTTCAAGCGTTGCGATTGCCTGCTGGCAGTACAACACCAGGTGCCAAAACTGGTTTGTAAAAATTTCAATCTTGCAAAATTTCGATTAAGTTGCACCACTCCAATTTAGGCTTATGAAGACTCAATAAAGGTATCAATTAATCCAAATAGCATCTGGTGAGGACACTGAGACATTAAATTTATTCATGTTGTTGTTAATTTACGTTGCACTGGAGCTGCACAATGGGCTATTGGCGACGGTCTGGGAAACATCCTTGGGGATGATCCGAAGACATGCCATCACAATTTTGATCCTTCGCAGAGGAGATGGCACCCCCGCTTCGGTAGCCCGACGACCTGCACGCGAAGTCGAGCACTTTACGGTAGAACAGTTTAACGAGGACCAATACCTCACACCCTCGGTCCCTACGCAGACTGATCCAAGTGGTCACCCACCCGCACACCGACAAGCAGCCAGTGATGCTTGACTTCGGTGATCAGCTGGGAACCGTGTCTTAAGGATCAGTCCACTGCGGGACTCTAATTTATACATGAAATCAGTGTTCCATTTACCTGGGAGAGATCAGTAGCTGGAAGGTGTGAGTTCAATTCTGGTGGGTCTACTAAACAGCTGAAGTGTAAACGTAGCAAGTTTTACGTTAACTGTCGTGGACGTTTAAGAGAGAGAATAAGGTACCAACTCAGGCTCTGTCTACGTCTTATTACCGGGCATGATTTTGGTTCTCTTACCATGGGTGAAATGATAGAGCCCTGTAAAACACGTTGTTGGTAATCATGGAGTGGTTTATTTAATTTTGTTACGCATACATACGCAGTCTTGTGTGTCAAATGTATAGAAGGCCTTATAAATCCATGTCAGGTTGACGAACAATTATCTCAAGTTAGAGGACTGCACTAGGATTTGAACCCGCTACTTCCATTAATCAGAGCTTGACTAGATTTCGTGATTTCTCCGCACTTTCTCATCTTCCGATACCATGGCTTCAAAGCTTGCTTTTTCTCAAGATTTGCTGAAGCCATGGCAATAGATTGGAGAAAAAAAACTGCATATTCTTGGGTCGCGTATTTTATTTACAGCGAGTAAAGATGGCGTGATTTATGAATGTATGAATAAAGAGTAAAAAAAAATTCTTTCAATGGTTGCATAAGTGATAATTTTATTTACAATCGCATGCGTTGTAACACACAGAATCACATACAGGCACATTGTAATTTATAATACGTTGACCAATTTACCTAAAAGTGGTCTATTTAGTTAGTTTTACAGAAGTTTTGAAAAATGTTCCAGCACTTCGTGTGAATCGTTGTGTCCTCTAATACAGTAAGTAGTTGATCTAAGTTTACATTTAGATATAGTGTTTTGTTCCAAGGCATACTAAAACCATTTTTCAACACATGGTGTACTAACATCAGTACATTTATTTTTAGCTACTTAAAACGGAGGTAACCTAGCGTCATCCATATTTACGTAAAGCTTAGTTGAAAAACATGTTAAATACCATTTTAGTTACCTTGAGAAAAATCTGTGTTAAAATGTATAGATACATCAGGAAGCATAACATCATTTTCTCAAGAAAACAGTCCTATTTAAGGACTTAGCAACAACAGAAATATTTCACGATGGGTAGATTATGATGTTTTTAAATTTAGTAAAACGAATTTTAAAAAGTTTAACATGATATGTTCTTTATAACTTGAAATGTTATGTTGTAACTTAACAAGAGAACTTTTTTCAGAGAGTCACTTAATATTTTCCTAACTTGATCGTTATTTTCGAAAAGCGAATTTTTCAAAGAGTAGCTTAACATGTTCTTTCATGTAGAAAAGAGATTTTTGGAGAAAAAAAAAATTAATNTTTAGAAAAAAGATTTTTGGAGAAAAAAAAATTAATATATATATGTTTTTTAAATTTAAAAAAAAAACATTTTGACATGTTTTTTTATTTTGAAAAATGGAAGAGTAACTTTTCATATTTTTTTTTTTAAATTTGGGAAAGGGATTCTTTTAAGATGTGATTTAACATACTCTTTAACAGGGAACAAGGATTTTTTTATATTATTTTTTTAATATAGCATAACTTGTTCTTTAATTTAGAACAGTGAATTTCTTCATGTGTGACTTAACATGTTATACGACTAAGCTCTTCGATTGAACCATAAAATGTTGGAATATTGAAATCGAAACTATTTCAAATTTTAGGTCGAAATATTGTATTTGTTTTGAAAACTGGTTCATTTATTCTAAACTTAAAATATTGCTGACATTCGAATTTAAAATGTGTATGTCGTTAAACAATTCTATAAATTGACACGACGTAAAAAAAACGTCTATTGTATACCAAACATTTATGTGAACTGATTCGCTTTATAATGATTCTTTTCTCACAACTCTGCTGGTGATATAGTGCGACCAAATTAATTATTTTGACACTGATTCGAACCATGGATGTATTCATTTGAATAATTTGGTTCTGATAAGTGATTTGAGCCCACTGATGCCAGAGAAAAGAATCATTTGTTTAATCTTCACATCAATTTAAATAAGTGGTTTTAGGCAGATATTTTTTTATTACGAATTAGTTATAATTATTGATTGATACGTGTCACTGATTTGACTAGGTGGTTCTAATTCTCTAGATTATTTTAGTCAGAATCAGTTGATTCTAATCAAAATGATCGAAAATTCTAATTAGTTTATTCGATTAGAGCAGTGGTTCCCTAAAGGTCTTCTTCCACAGATCCCTAGAGTTCCGTGATTGGGCTACAGGGCTTAGAAGAGTTTTTTAATCACTAATGATTTTTGAAACCCAGTAATTATATTTATATTGAATTAATATTCCATTACTTATTTAATATTTTGGTTATTATTGTGAAATTTACTAATGGATCAAAACTATTTGCAACCTGGCCTGTGAAATGGTTTGGAAGTTGGTAAATCATAACTCTGCAAGCAATTTGGCTTATGAAAATTCAATCAGACTGGATGTAAACTATTTTTTTTTGCGTAAACTCTTTATTTTGAACGATTAAATGGCTGAAACTTACGGATGACACTTGATATCCCCCTATTTAGTTCAAATATAATAGAATATAATACAGGCACACACGCATTAAGAACAATAGAAAATATCAATCTTTAGAACATGGTCAAAATAATTTTTCTGATTTTCATTGGTGCATAGAAGTTTAATTGCATTTTGTCTGGTGCTATAGTAATAAAAATACTTGATATGATTTTATCTTGAGCAATATTTTAGGCTAAATTTTTTTTAAAAAGTGTTTTTAAATGCAGAAATGACAATTGCTATTGTTTGTGTTTGAAGAGGAATTTTCAGAGCCCCGTACATGTTTAACAATGGAACAACTATTAGATATTTTTCAAGATTCCAAAGACTCAACTATTGGATTTGTTCAGTTAAAAACTCAATAGTTTCGGAGGCTTTGAGCATGCAGAATTTCAATTACTATTGTCTGGGTTCTGAAAGGAATGTGAAAATTTTAAGAACCTGCATAAATTCTATGGTAATTGTTTTTCAGGGGCTGAAATTTTTAAATGCCTTTTTTCTTCTTCCGTTTTTTAATTAAATCCAACAGTTTCTTTGACAATACTACATTGTTTTGTCACCAAAACTGT